CTAAGAGGAACCACTTTTTGACCCTTATTTGATATTCACCTTCGTATCTCGAAATAACTTGTTACTTCTTAATTTTTTCCCCCACATGTAGGCATTATCAATTTACTTCCCACTTGAAAAGTGAAAAATTATCTTTTGCTACTCACCTCCCAATATTATTAAACTGTGATATTGGTTAGATCAACATTCAGTTTTTACATTATTATAACCGAAAATTACATTCATATTTGAGCCTTCTCATATGTTCTGACTGTATTTCCTTACCTGTATAACGTTTTGCGTTTCTTTGAGTTTTAAAGATACTGTTTTTTGTTTGTTTTGTGTTCTGCGTGCTTATAATTAGTCCAGCCCCAAGCTTCGCACCAGGTGCTTACATCTCTCACTCAGGATGCTCAACTGCGTCTGGTATGTTACAAGCCTCATCTTCCTGAAGAAGTCGCTCCTGCAGCGTTCTGATCTGCTCCAGCAGGGTGCTGTCCTTTTGCCTGCCGTACAGCTGTCTCTCTGGAGAATCCCTCAGCTCTCCCATGTAGGAATCCTTACTTCCCATTTGCTTTCCTATATCATTTGCTTTCTTGATTTATTTCCTCTTTTTGGTGGAGTACATCCTCTTGTTGACTTTTGGGAAACAATGTATGGAAGGTAACGCTGGGGGACGATGCATGTCTGATGAGACTTTCCCTGAAGTCATACTTAATTGATAGCTTGTCTGGGTAGTAAATTCTGTGTTTAAAAATTTTTTTCCTTTAGGATTTTATTTCTTCGTGGTCTTTTAGTTTACACAGTTGTTAAAAGTCTGAAGCCATTCTGATTCTTTATAATTTAACTCTGTGAAAACCTGTAGGGTCTTTTTTTGTTGTTGTATCTATTTTTGTTGTTGTTGCTCTGATTGGCACTTTTATCAAGTGCCTTTGTGACTTTTAAAACTGGGAACATGTTCTGCAGTTCTAAAATTTTTCTTGAATTGTTTCATCAATGATTTCCTTCTCTCCTTTTCAGAAACCTCTTTTATTTTGATGATGACCTTCACACACTAGTCATGTCTTACCTTTCCTCTGCTGTTCTTCTATTTCTGTCTTTTTGGCCCCATTTTCTGGGTGATTTCTCCTGCTTTATGTTCTGACACCCCATAGAGGTTTCCATTTCTGCTATCATTTTTAGGCTGGTTTATTGAGGTATTATTTATGTATATAAAACTTATCTTTTTTAGTATACAGGTCTGTATTAGTTTTCTATGATACGTAACAAATTACCACTAACTCAGTGGCTTAAAACAACATACATTTATTATATTAAAGTCTCCATGGGTCAGGAATATAGGCACAATTCATCTAAGTCTTCTGCTTAGGATCTGATAAGGCTACAGTCAAGGTGACAGCTCTGAAGCTGGGGTTTCATCTTCTGATTGGAGTCCTCTTCCAAGTTTGCCTGTTACGGCAGAATTCATTTCCTTGCAGTTATAGTACTGAAGCTGTAGTTCCTAGAGGCTACCCTTCTCCGTAAGCTGTTCATAACATGGACGTTTGCTTCTTCAAGGCCAGCAGACAGGTACTTTTCTGGCTTCTGGCTCTACCAAGACCCTTTTTTAAAGGCTCACCTGATTAAGCCTGGCCCACCCAGCATACTCTGGGTTAAAAAAGTAAACTGATTGGGGACCTTAATTACATATGTAAAATTCCTTCACCTTTACCACATTAACACAACAATCATGGTACCAGATATCAAATATTTTTGGCTCTTGACTTATATTAAGAGATACTTGGGGGCTGTAGTTGGGTTATTATGTGTGTTACTGAAATATAATCTGGTAGGACCATTATCTTGTGCAGCCCTCAGTGTCAGTGCTTTTTGGTTCCCCTTGTGGGCTAGTAAATAAATTCCTTAGAGAAAGATCTTCTAATCTGCCTAGATGTTGATGACCTGGCTGCCAGGATTCTGGGAGCCAAGAAGGGGAAAGGGACTTGATAGCGTTCAAGATAAAAACATTCTCATAATTACCCACCATCAGTATGTACTCCCACCACCATCTCTGCCTGTTGTTCCCTAGCCCAGAGACTTGTTTTACTTTCTCAAGAGAGGCGGGGGAAACCTCTGATTTTCTGCCAATGATAAGGGCAGTTGTTTGGCTGGGTGGAGGTGGGTGTGGATATCGGAGTGGTGGCATCTTATTGCTTTTAAAGCAGTCCTGTGTTTAGCTCCACCTTCAACCTTACTTCCATATTTACTTGATGTCACCAGTTCCTGAGACTCATGGGAGATTTTGTTCAATAAATCAGATTGTTTCTTGGCCTTACCCACTATTGGCTTAGAATTCATCTTTTTAGGGTATGCTGGGACAAGCAGTTGTTCATCTGCTTTTCACTGTCTAAAAGTTTATTGTTCTTACCTCTTATATTCTTTTTTTTCCATGTAGCTATAATATGCCTTTTGAAAAATACTTGTACTGGTATTCTAATTTCAGAGGGCCTGAAGGAAATAGGTGTTCAATACATCACTCTTTAGTGGAAAGTGTGAATG